GGCTGCCTACCAGGTTAAACCACGACACAGGATTATCAGATTGCGGACTGTCTGATCTGGTAATTCCTTCATGTCCTAGTTCTACCAATGGTAGATAAATTAGATATACATTCTTGTTTCAACATGTAAGCAAGCAATTATGGACAGGTATACACAACCAAAATGTTATCCTCTTGTCCCAGTGTTCTTCTTTAGAAAAACATACATTTTAAAAACTTTTTAGAATACCAAGACACTATCCTAAGTCTCCAGCGGTATCTTAAATGTTTTGCGTTTGCTTTGTCCTGCTTCTTTAGATGCTGAAATAAAAGTAATAACAGCTCCACAGTAGCTCATGTTTCTTTTTTTCACGTCACACAACTGAATAGAGAAGAGAGATCTCTAAGGTAAGCGCCAAAAAAGTTGCCACTGAGCTGGAAGCAGTGTAGCTGTGTCAACATGGCCCTGCGCTGAAACCTAAAATCAGTACAATATATTGGCAACCAAGCTGCTATTTCTGCAAGGTATAATTTCATATCATACTGACAAAAGTAGATCATTACAGTACCTTGCAATTTTTAAAATACAAAATATTGCATGGTATAGACATGTCTGTTATCCTTGCCTTTATCAGTAAGCTGGATTTGAAGAAAGACATAGAGGGGACTCCTCAAAGAGTCAACATGTAATGAATAAGAAGATGGGAAAAAAAGTCCCAGAAGTAAGGGTCAAACACGTCACCAATGAATTAACCTTATTAGGTTTCTGTGCAGTACAGACTGCTTGTTTTCTTGAACAAAAATTGATTTTGATCCAAGTACAGTTTAACAGGAAAGATCACAGATTATTCACTCATTTAGCATGCATTTAGCTGTTCCTTTCATTAGTCACCATAAAGAATTTTACTTTTTTTTTGGGGGGGTGGGAGGGAGAAAAGAAAGAAATAGAAAAGAAATTATGAGGTACCTGGTGTAATCTACAAGAGTTGAACTAGATCTGTCAGCTGCTGTTACTTTTCTTCTCACTTTTCCCTTTGCTTTTTCTTGTTTAACTTTGCTGCTGCTCGGCTCAGGTTTCTCAACAGGTTCTTCTGCAGGTGGCACCTTTTCTCCACTCACAATCTTTTTGCCAGTTTCTTGGTTAAGTTTAATCTTTTTTGCGGGGTTGTTAAGAAAAGCAGATTTAACCTTTTCTGGAGTTCGCTCTCCTTTTTCACCGTCAGGCTTGGTCTTCCCCTTTGGCAACGTTTTTGATTCAGTTTCTGGTTTACAGGCTTTTATACAAGTGGCTTCATGTTCTTTATCAACCTTTTCATCTACTTTTCTTTTTCTTTTTTCAGGTTTTGCATCAGAAGGTTTGCTTTTTTCAGCAGTTTTTTTTGACTTGTCCTCTTTGTTGGAGGGCTTCTCCGACTTGGTTTCTTTTGGATGGTCTTTCTTTGCCTTTTCTTCCTTGGCTGGTCTAGTTTCTGGGTGATCTTTTGTCACTTTTGGGTGAACTTTCCAAGGGATACCAAGAGCCTTCTCATCCTTTTGAGAGGAAGATGTTTTAACATTCTCTGTCTTTGGCAACTCCTCCTTCACTTTTTTCACAGGACCTTGCATTCGAAGAGATTTTTCACCATCGGTGTCCACCTTCTCTTGGGAAGCTTTAGCTGGTTTCATTATATTGTCTTTCTTAGGAGGAACAGCCACTTCTACTTTCTGCTTTGTCTTGTCAATTTTTGCTTTTGGCTTATCCTTCTTCCCTTTTTTCTCTTTTTCAGACACCAGTTTGAAAGCAATAGAATCTGCTTCCGTCAGCTCATCTCTCACAGGGATGGCTTCATCTCTGCTTGGGAGCATGAACAGAGAGCCCATTTTAATGTCTTCTGCCGTAATTGCCTCTCTTGGTTTTTTCGCACCTTCTAGCAACTCAGCATTGGGAAATCTTTCATTCTCATCTCCTTTTCTTCTCTTCCGGTGTTTTTTATGTTTATTTCCTTTGCCATCCCCCAGTGGATTTTCCACCTCCTTCTCTTTTGATTTTGTAGGTGCTTTGATGCCAAGGCTCTCACTTCCAGAAGGTTTTTCAGAGTAATTTCCAGCTATATTACGATTTCTGTACCTCTGCCCACCAGGATAATCCTCCCTACATCCCCGAGCACATGGCGAATTCTCTCGTCTGGTCCCAGGTGGACCAAACCTATCTGGAGAAAAGTTCTCTCTATTTTCTGGAGGTCGAGGTTGAGCACCAACAGCATAGCCCTTGTAAAACTTTTCATACCATTCTCTACGGTTCCTTTCCCACTCTCTGTATCTTTCCTTTTCAAACGGATCTGTAAAGTCAATAGATCTGCCATAGTAAGCTTTCATATCATATGGTGGAACTTCTGTGTATCTGTTAAAATACTCCCTTTCTCCTTCCCCTTGAGGTATAGTCCTTTTAGTGGGAGACTGGCCTCTAAATACTGGAGACCTTGACCGTGAATGGTATCTTCTGTATGGGGGTGACCCTGACCTTGAACGCTGATAACCATGTGACCTTGACCTAGAACGAGAGTTACGACTCTTCCCTTTGCCTCCTCTTGGATACATCGGCGATCGCGAGTAGGAACGAGAATGGGAATGACTAAATGACTGAGAGTAGGAGCGAGAGCAGGAAGAACCTGATCTTGACTTGGAGTAGATATATGAACTTCTAGAGTAAGATGAAGCACTATAAGGAGACTCGGACCTTAAAAAAAAAACACCACACAAAAAAAATAAATGAAGTTAAATCAAAACAGTCACTCTCCCCAGTTTTTTTCCTCCCAAATGTGGTTTGTTTGGTTTTTTTTCTCTCCATATGCTTATGTCAAAGCTTCTTACAGCTGCTGATATAATTCTGCTGCAAATTGAAGAACTTGATAACATATAAAAGTTTCTGCTTACAAGACAGACTCATTTCTATCACATGAACTACCATAGCTATTGATTGATTGAAGGTGATGTGTACTGCCTCTACCAGCACGTGAATGCCTGCATTTTTCACTACTCAACAACTACATGCAGTGCAAATAATTTTTGTTGCAGTAAGATGCAAAAAGAGCAAGTCTTAATGGCTAAAGTGCCGTCTCAAACATCAAGAAAACACGATTTAGCCTGAAGACAGTAAAGCTCAATTTTAAAATGCCAGCTTAGTCTATTTAACTACACTGGTTATTTGGCAATTTCTACTGCAATCTTAATACAGTATTGTTTAACCAACACTTCTAGCCAGATGTCCTAGCAAAATTTTGTACATACCTCTAGCTCTAACCAAGGATAGTGACCGCATTTCAAGAAAAATCATATCTAAAAGCTTCTAAACTCAGCCTGTAGTAGTATGACTCAATGCCATTACTCTAGGAAAGAGTATACTAACAGCATTACTAATAGAGAGCTCTTCAGACTCCTGCCCAAGTGATTTTTGGGGATAGAAAACATCAGCTACCCTGAGTTTTTTCTTCACAAGTTTTCCTTTTATTATTTTATAAAGAACCATTTCATATTATTCCGCATATGTTCATTAGTATCATTTCTCGTCTCAAAATCCTTTAACAATTTAAGATTTCCTTAAAACAAGTCTGATCTTTTAATTCCCAAGAAAAATTTAACAATGTCAACAAAATACTAGCGAAAGCCACCAGTTTGCAGTTCAGGTTAAAACCTCTCTGTGTATCCACATGAGATAAACAAAAGAGGAAATGAAGACAATTTCTCTCACATATCTCCTCTGAAGAGCTTTGAGGTAATGGGTACAATTAGAATAGGGAGACGCGGAAAATCCAGCAACTACACCTATTCAGTTTCTAGCCTCTCACGGCTGTCAGAAGGTGGAGGATGCCATTGCAGAGAAGCTTTAGTAAAAGACACTTATTCCTTAACAATTGCTGCCAAATTACAACTATCAGTCAACTGTAATCTCCGCCATATTTGAGCTCATCACCTACATAGGAAACTCCTATCACTGCTAACCCCTTGAATCATCCAATCCATCTAACATAGAGAGGTGGAGTGGAACTCCTCCTGATTCTTCTCTACAATCTGCTTCTCCATTACGGACATGTAAAGCAGTTACCTGGAAAACGAACGCCTATGCTCCTTTTGAATCTTTTTATATTCCACCAATTCCTTAGCAAAATCATTTGTAAACTCATCACATTTGGACATTTTCTTCTCCCTGTTAAAATAAGTTTGACCTTTATTACAATTATAGTTTGACCTTTACTACAAAAAGACATCAAGAAACAAACCATGGCCAATATGAGAAAATGCATACTGCATGCAAATGCAAAACGTGACCATCCTATTTAAGCAAAACCAGTTTAGAATTCCTACAAGTTTTAGGGAAAGTTTTAGAATTACATTTATCTTGTTTTAGTTTTGCATGTTTACCATCTGCAATGAAAAAGCATATTGGAAAAAACACTACATCATTTTTGCTTATGTCAGATGCACTTTAGTATAACTGCAGTCTGATATGCTGTCGAAATACAAAAATGAAAAACAGCGCAACTTCATTGAGCCAAATACTTACTCCTCTTTAAGTCTCTGTTGTTCTCTGTAAAACTCCCTAGGTAAAGGAGGCGCTTGTGTCTTTGGGATGGCATTTGAATGAGCTGTTGGTACTGCTCTTGGTACCCAAGCTGACGACATGTTTGCAGGAGCTGGGGGATATCCTGGAGGGGGGACAGTGTACCCAGCAGATGGAGGCTGACCAGGTGGAAACTGTGGTGGTGGTACCCCCGGTGGAAGAGGAAGTGCATGGGGTGGTGGAGGATACAAGGGAGGTGAAGGCACAGGCACAAAGACTGGTGTTGATGCTGGTAGTGTTGGGGCCTGAGCCCTTTGGGTACGTTCACTATGCGGGCGTCCTCGATTTGAACTTCTAAAGAAACCCAAAAACATGTGTCACTGTTTGTTACACTCTGCCCTGATTTTAAAGAGGAAAGCGAATGAAGTGGGAGCATGGTGGCGAGCACTTCTTGTTTTCAGCTTAAGCATTTTTCTCTCTGCTTTCTGTTCATTTGAGACTACACTCATTTCTTGATCCTCACACTTGCCTTCCACATCCTCAACCCCAACAGTTCCCTCAGTCTTCTCTCCTTATACTCAGCCTTGCAACTGTGGATGGAGTCTGCCCATGCTTAAAAGAGACTCCCATCTCCCATGTGCCAAGTGCCCACCGCTCCTTTGACACTCCTTGATACACTCAATACTTCACACTTCTGATCTTCAAAGTACTGCACAGATATTAACTAATCTTCTCTCAAACTTCTTTTAACTTCTTCCACATATGCTTCCTATGCTGTTGCCTCATGATAATGTATTTGGCCTGGTCCTGTCCCTGAATTGTTATTTTCTTGCTTACTGAATTGGAGATTTAGGCAATCTAGGATGGATCCTGGTTTTTGTTTTGATTTATCTTTAAGATTTTATAAACACAATACACCCTTACAATCTATCTATAACAAATATATACCAAAAGGAAAGACTAGCTTGACACTGCAGTAATAAAACAGACTCCTCACTCTGCAACTGAGGGAAAGCAGTTTGGCTATTTGAGATGACTAAATTGAAGAAATTCAAAATTGTCATAAAATAACAATGTTGACTTTTCCAACAATTTGCTCAATCAATTTCAACTAACTTGTTAAAAAAAGAATGTTGGAGGCTGATTTCTATTGGGAAATAAGTTTCTTCAGCCCAGTAATCAAAAGGGTGGCTTTCCACCTGATCCTTTAATTATCTTTAATTTTTATATGTACTTATGGTTTCCTCAAAAAGCATTCATTTCTCAGAGTCCTCTTTTCAATCATATACTGGAGTTTTAGTTTAAATAATCTTACTGCAAGCACAGATGCCCTTTGTTAAAGCCAATTCAAATTAAACCATTTAAAAATTAATTACCACTTGTATTCTCCACAACTATCTGTGCATACTTATTTCATTATAAATCAGCTATTGTGTAAAAGTTATGTGTTACGGCCACATTTAACAGGTTACAAGTAGTAATATATTGAATTTCTGTAGAATACTTACAGTTCCCAGCCTGGTCTGCCACCTGCTGAGCGAATTGTACTGGCTCTCATTGGATGACCTTTTCGAGTCGGGAGAGGAAAAAGAAAAAAATCCCATTCAGTGTATCTGAAGATAATTTTTAAAAATAAATTCTAAAGTTATAGTTACTTACCAGTTGTGGGTATTGATTGTCCTTGGGGGCCCAGAAGACTTGGTAATGCTGGTTGTCTTAGTACAGGAACCTGATAGCCCTTGTGCAAACAGTTGGAAAATAAGCTCTACTAAAATATAAGAATCACTGCATATGTTGAAATAAAACTTACCTTCTCTTCCAACAAACTGCTGATTGACAGAGAGGGAGATTTAGAAAGTTCAGTGGCAGTCACCAGAGCTGCAGGAAGTATAACAGTATCGGCATCACTACAAAAAACCCAAAGTTTTATTATTCAAACAGTGTTTTGAAGTGCTACTTGAAATATAAAGTCCAAGGTGAGAAAAGGCTGACTACTGGAAGTGGAAAAAAAAGTTAAAAAATAATCTTCACCAGATTTATAATGTGAAGTTGGCCAATTCCAAATGAAGCACTGACGAGAATTCTATTTGGACCACTGGCATTTAAAGAGAAAGCTCACCAGAAAAATATTTTATTATGCTAGCTGCACATGAAAGGATTAGAGTACGTAAAACCCACACACTGAGTCTCAGTTTTGGAAGATGCAAGAACTGAAATTCTATTAGGAAATGTTTATGTGCTACCTCAGAGGCTGCCTTAGAGGTTCTTTTGAATTGTGATCCTTTGTATTCAACGGTACAGCCAAGCCTGACAGTCTTCTGGACAGAGTGGCTATTTGCGTTCAAGGCATAAAGTTAAAAGGATATAAACCCTAAGCAATAGTATAGATTTTTCATGTATTTTCGTCTGACTTCACTGGGTTGCAAACTTAGACTGTCATGTTTGTAAGTAGTTCAAATTTACAGTGTTTCAATGTTTATTATCCAAATCTGTATGCGTCATTGACTACACTGTGTATTACTGAGGATGACACTGACTTATCATAATATTGATGATAGAAATATTGTAGAAAAAAGTAATGTGAAAACACCTGGTCAATTTTACCTCTAATTGTGCTTTTACACTTTTCATGAAAAGATTATTTCCTCAGTACTAAAGAGAAATTAATGCACTCAAGAAGATTTGACATAACTAAATGGTTACTTTAGGAATTGCTAGTCACTTAAAATCAAAGGGCTCCTGGGGAAAAAAGGTTCCTCTTTCAGGGTAAACCTGTACTGAATGACTGATAAGGGAACCAAACAAGAAATACTTCTGAGATAATTCTTGCATGAGGCACACTTCCAACATACCCAAGTGTCCTCATTCAAAGTAAAAACAAAAAACCCCAGAACTTCCACAGTTATCTGGAACTGTCACTAATGATACATAAATCGCTAGCTGAGAAGCTCAAGAAGAAGAATCTAACTTCACCATTTTGGTGTCTTTTATATTCATGTTGATCTACAGATTTACTTACCAAAAAGGTCCATCTGGCTTTTCAGCACGGAGAGATAGGGACACTGCTGGAGGGACATCAGAGACAACAACAGAAGACGGGTTTACTGGCAGCCCAGCTGCCACAGATGACTCACCAGGGGCCAACAATGACAAAGCAGCAGCAGAATGAGAAGCCAGAGAAGCTAATGGTATCATTAGTGGATCCTGCTGTCTGGAAATTGTTTGCCGGAGTAGAGGCTGCAGGTTGCGTATCATTGTTTGTCTCATTAGCGGTGGTGGAGGTGGTGGTGGCTGCTGCTGTTGCTCCTGAATCTGCTTATGGAGCCTTTTTGTGTAGCCAGTTCCATTTTTGAAGTTGTTCACAGCCTAGAGGCATGTGAACATTTACAAAAAGTTAATATGAAACTTCAGTAGATATAAGAACAAAAGCCTCCACAGAGTAAAATTACTTGTGTATTTCCTGTAAATGCTATCAATCCTAAAATAAATCAACATACAGATATATGAACACGTCACATTAAACACTGATATTAATAACTGGTAACTCAAGAGTATCTGTATTTAAAGTACTTCAGTGTTAACACCGAATTTGAAAGTGAGGCAATCATGATAAACAAAAGTGTGACCTGAATTTGCCAGATTGTCTCTAAAGAGTTGTAAGCTTCTGTAACAACAGATAATGTATTTGAAAAGTAAATTTAGCCTTATTCAATTTAGCCTTGCTTAAGGAGATGTAAATTAATATTTTCTTCCCTTTCAGCTTTTTACAAATAGACTTTTCTTACAAACAGTTTATGTAAAAGTCATCATGTTACCTTGCGTAGGAACGTGTTGGCAATTAAAGCATCAGGAGAAACATCTGTTTGATGACACGTTGGGCATGTATGTTCCTCAGATTCCAGTAATGCTGTTCTAATACCTGTGAATAATTAGAATCATCAAAATAGTTTTTAGCCAAACTAAGGAAATTATTGGGGTTCTAATCAATTATAAAAAGAAGTATATGATTAATGGGTCAATATGGTCTTGAATGGAGAGCATGAATTATAAATGTTCAATAGTGTAAAAAATTTATAGTATGCAGCGAATAACTACACAGTTTTGATATTTCACTATTGTAACATTTGAAGGTGTAGAGTAGGCTGTGTCTTGATGTTTCGACTAGTCTTCTTTCCACTATCGAGTACAGTGAGAAGTCACCAACCTCAAGGTTAATGAACAAAACACATTTCAAAAAACCATTAGTAGGCTTGAGTTCTGAAGGTTTTAACCAACTGCCCTGTGGAGAAGAATGTGGATTAAATGCCTAACTCTGCGTTTGCTGCAGACCACAGTAAGTCATATATCAGTTGGATATATAATTTTCTACGAGAGAAAGGGCTGCGGACAAACTAAATGCATTCAATATCCAATACTGTAATCACCTGCACAATTACGCACTCTTCTCATACTCGTCCTTCCGCATGTAAAGAGGATTTAACTAGATACATAAAAAGGGAAAAAAGCTTTCTGCCTTTTTTTTTTCCTTTATACAAGAAGAGTCCTTTCCTACTCAGGGTATACTTCAGTATTAAATAGAACCGGTTACAAAGTAATTTTGTTATCTTCTATTTCTGCTTTCAGAAGATGAGATGTGATGTTTTGAATTAACAAACATGGGAGTAACACTTACATTCGTCACAGTAACTGTTTCTACAGCAGGGAATAACAACTGCATCAGTCATTATATCTTTACAAATGAGACATAACAACTCATCTGGAAAAGGATCATCTGAGGAAGAGGAGGACTCGGGCTCCTCTGGTAAAAAGGGAGGCTTTTCCTTCTTTCCTCTAGCATAAGCTTCCCTGAAGGAGTGGTGGGGAAGGAAAAAGAAAACAGTTAAAGATGGGTAAAGGAAAACTTTTCCAAGTTTTGGATTTTATCAAAGGAAGACAATAGATGGAATTCTTCTCACTCCACATTAGCCTTCTAAAATGTAGGCATTTAGTTTAAACTACTTTTCTATAGCCATAACACCAGAAGAGGAAGGGGGGAACAATTTTCCTCCTGCAGAACTCTCCCATTCATTGGATCAACTAAGAAATTAGTTCAGACTAGAAAAATAATTTTTTGACAGCTAAAAATCAGGTGAAATGAATCCCATCTCTCCTTTGCCAGAGGGTAAATGTAAATTGCAGGCTCAGGATAAAGTTAGTCTCCAAGTAATTACATTTTCCAAATTAAAGAAGTCTATGTTACAGCTTCTACAAAAGAAGATCCATGACAGAAAAACAGAAGTGCTACCAAGTGCATTTTAAAACAGCCACTCTTGTCAGCACACAGTAGTATTTTCTTAGTTTATAGCAACAGGAAAACTTCAGTCTGTTTCACACATGAGATTTGCTAAAAGTCAGAGGGGGATGAAATCTCAGTCCAACAGCTATTTGTTAAATATTGCAAGAAGCCTTTGAAACATACACCAGAAGCAAAACAAGCTTTCAAAGAGAATGACTCCAACTGTAAACACTACTGAAATGTTTTGCAGAAATACAGATTCTCAGCATACCACAAGTTTAACCAACTTCCAGGGGCATGAACAGTAGGACCACCCTATTTTAATATTCGAAAGTATCACAGATTTTAAGGTTTAGATACAATGACAATGCTTCCTCCCCCATAATTACAGATGCTGGCCAACTTGGTTGCATTGCCACTCAGACATTTACGCATGGTTTCTCTCACTCACTTTTTGGTCAGTCCAATTAATTCCATACTTACGCATTAATAGTTGGTATTGCATATTTTCCAGTGTTTGTCAGCATAGCACCCTTTGTATTGGGATCTTTCACCTCCATCATGAAACTCCTTGGAATTCCTGTGCTCTTTTTAATTCTGGGAACAGACTCAAAATTTTTGTCCTGTTAAGAAAAGAAATGCAGACATATCTCATCTTAAGAAGACCCACACTTTAAATGACATTTCAATGATTATTTTAAGCAGCAAAAGCCTTTAATCCTCTCCTTTTACCTAGCGTAAGGATTGCTCAACTAAAATACTTATTTTCCTAAATGAATATAGCCAGGATGTTCCAAAGGCTTGAGCAGTGTTTTGAACTCATTCGACATTCTTTGGCTTAACTTCAGGTTCCTTAAGGGTGAAATATCCCTTAGCCCACCATCCACTCAGAGATGAGACACAAACCTGCTCCTCCTCCTCCAAAGCGCAGTTCAGAGTGAGAGCTTAATTCAGTGCTCTGAATCAGTCACTGGGGAATCATATCACCATCTAGATATGAAGGCTGAATTCATACCTCATGCATTCAGTGGCTAACGTTAAATGGGACAAATACTCAACCAGAGGCTTGCGTAATTAAAACATGCAGATATTCAATAGATGGGGTCAACAGAAACATCTTGGTTTTATACAAAATACTAAAAAGTGTGAACTGTTATTAAAAAGAGTTAAAACCAGAAACATTTCCAGTAATATTGAAATATATAAAAATACGCATGAAAGTTCACAGAGGAAGATCTATGGACATATTTAATGTCTATGACCTAGAAAAAAGAAAATTTTCCATTTATAATTCCAGGTTTCCCTTGAATTTTGAAGGGCTTTGCAACATTGCCATATAAACTCTGTATTTAACCCCAAGAGAAACAATTCTTAATATGAGTATTCATGTATTTGTTATGTAACTGCCAAGGTAAAAAAATTAAAAACTAAGTAACACCAGAAGTCCCCCACAATCTTACCCCATTTGTTGGGCAGTTCTTTATATAGTGGCCAGGTTTTCCGCAACGAAAGCAAGTATATGATGATGGCGGCGGACCCAAGGGTTTCTTCATGTAACTAAAAGTTTTTTAGGGAAAAAAAAGAAGGTATGCATGTGTCTTTCTTGTTAAAACAAACATCTCTACAATTTTTCTATAACCTTCAAAGAACACATTTGACATTACCAACGCTTACTTGATTGGATCATATACATGGCCAGACTGTGTCATCATAGCTTTTATTTTATCTTCTTCAGAAGCATTGGCTTCAGCCAGATTGGCAGTCTGTTTAACAGGTAATTAATTGACACACACATTAGAAACACATTTAAACCCACACAGCCAAAGACAACACCACCCACCCAATCCCGTAAAGAACAGCACAACGCCAGCTGGGGTTGAGTGAAAACAGCTGCTTATATAAAATATAGTTGTCCTGAAGATGTTCTGGGGAGTCTTTACGCCATTACATGCCTGTTAACCTACCTGAAAAGAGTATTCTTGGGCACTCAAAACCTTAGGATCTGTTTGTACCTTACATAAAGACTTGTGTAACCAGTCCAATTTTCTTCCAAGTGGATTGAAACTATGTGTAGAAAAAATTATACTATCCAGTATTTTTAAACTGATTTTTAAGCTCCAGACTATTTGAAGGAGAAGATATCTACTGTACATTTAATTGAGAAAGATTATTATTTACATTTTGCAGCATTAAAAGGACACACAATGTAAGAGTCATTTCTGCTTGCTGAAATTCAGCTTCAGACACAGAAGTGTTAAAAGGAATCAAGCTTTTTATAATCCCTCAGCAAGACAAAAGTAGAAATTTCCAGTAGAAATTTGACCATCATGTGCTGTAGGCAGTCCAAACTGTATGTTCCCCCCCCTACTAACTTCTTCATATTAAGTGATTTAACCACAGTAAGCAAAACCTGCAGTTTTTTCCCGTTGACTGTGTCCTTTTAACATACAAATTGTAGTATAAACCTTATGCAGAACTAGATCTTCAAATTATTGAAGCCAGCTGATCTTTTTTAAGTATTTGTTCAAATACTTTTATTACACACTAGTCCAGACACAAGCAGGGTCTAAGGGAGTGACTGTAAATTATTTGGACCTTCAAGCACCTATCATTCAGATCAACCACTCATGGTTTGTTTTTACATGCATTCATTCACAGAAGCAACCAACTAGTTTCAACATTCTATTAAACGGTTGTTTCATCCACACAGTTTTTTCTCAACAGTAACGTAATCCAGATTGACATCTATGAAATAATTTCCACTAACATTTACAGAAAACTTTACAGATACTTGACTAATTTGTTTGAACCCAAATGGTTTACAAAACACATCCAAAACCCACAAAAAATTACTAAGAATAGACCAAAATTCAAATATCGCATTTCATAGATAGTAATAATAAAACAGAAAACTGTTAACACATTGCTTCCATGCTAAGCCAGTCTGCACTGAAGAGGTAACTAACAGTTTTGAGCTGCTTTATGTTATGTTCCTGTATTTTTCTGAAATACTTAATTTTTCTCGAAAGCTTAAATGTGTACACCACTTGGACAGTTTTTCACATTTTAGAGTAAAACTTCACGAGTTTACAGAACCAAGGACACGTTTAGGGACAGCACTAGCAGAGACCAATTTGTTTTGGTGGTTACCTTCCAAACTTTTTTTTTTTTTTT